AAAAGCAACACAACACGCACTATTATTATTTTATACATCAACTTAGACTATAAAACTGTGTTGTAATACACAACACGAAACGTTTCAGTTCAAGATAAGATCGATCGTTCTTTAATAAGCTATTATTATAAATACTTAACAAGAAATTCCCTCTCTAAGTCTATGACTAAAATAACAATATTATCAAGAGCACCCATCATACTACCCATAATCCTCTTAATGTAATATCCATTGTAATAAGAATCTCGAATAATATCTGCTTTCACTAACCTAATTTCCTTAAAGCAGTATAATACTGGATAGATCTGATTTGATTACGCTGATAAGTGGACAGCGACAATAGATCGGGCGATTTCGTCATCTAATGAATACGTAGTTTGGCGTTAAGCACCGTAATACCCATCACTCCTTGCGCTCTATAGAGTTAGTCAAATAATCAAGTACGATGATTTTTCGGAGCGGAATTTACAAAAGGTGCCATAGAAAATAGCCTTTGCCGATGTGCCAATGACGACATTACAAATCGGATAAAATATGTGCGATGGATAGAAATAAACACACAAACATACCTATTTAGATAATATAGTAGTCCCCCAGACACTTTAGACAAATATTAATAACGAGAAACAATATTTAATCTGTTCTCAATTTGACCACAGACTATGTGCAATAAGATAAGTTTGACAATAAACCAAAGAGTATGCATCCGTGTGTCAAATACATGGTAGTGTGTGTAATGTTTTTTTATTGATTTAATGTATTTTTTATGCGTAATTAAAAAAAAAATAACATTCTGCACTTTTCTTTTCTATATTCTCTATAAGTGTGGGAAATTTCATACTCATCCGTCCGCGCAATTTTCGTAAAAAGGGGTACAAAGTTTTTACTGCACGTATTAATATATAGCTAATGCTTAGAAGAATGTCGTATCCATTGTGTGGCATATATAACCTATAAGTCAACTTATAGGTTATACCACGATTCGATCTTAGTATCAATTTTTCCAAATCACTTTATCCTGATCGGTACCACCGCCCTGGCTATTTTTCACAGGCGAATTTCGAATCTCAGCTTAATAAGTGTTTCTTGAGATACAAGTTTTATAAGCGATGGAAGAGAAAATGAAATTTCCTTAAATTTATTCCTTGATATAAATTACACTCACGTAGAAGTGATGTTGCAATCCAAGAAGATTTTGGATACATACAAGTATTAAGGGTACATTCCATTCATTTCAGTTCATTTTAACAATTTGAAATTAACTGAACCCACGCCGCTGAAATATGCACATATGAAGAATCAAACAAGAAAGCAATCAGTAGCTCTTTATATTTACATAGCATAAAATTACACATTTCCTTTCTATTTAACTGTATTTCTAAAACAACAGATTTTTACATGCTCACTAACTAACTTTTCGCCGTTGAATTTTCTGTTCCGTAACTATACGTCGTTGAAAAGTGATTTTTCTCGTACGCTTGTGAATATTAAATCTGTTTGAATTTTCACGGTACGACCATCGAGCGTATGGTACGCAGGGGCGTATAAGCTTTTTAAAATTCAGTTTAGAACACGGACGGAAAACCGCCATTTGCATAGCACCGGTTTACTGAGCCTTCGCAGCACGACATGGGGACTAGGCTCCGTCTGGCATTGTACACACAGCTATTGGATTCGTTTAACACGTGACTGGAGACGGACCGTAGTTTAATAGCCTCGTATATGTAAAGGACAGGCGCGGTCTACGTCCAACCAATTTGCAATAAAACAATATGGCGAGCCGCCCCAACACAACCCGGCTAGCGTCCGAGCCAGCTTTCGATTTCCGTGTTTATCTCAGCATTAGTCGTGACATCTATGTACGCTCATTTTGTAAATATTACGATCCGCAAACCAAAATCATGTTGTAAATTTATGATTCTAAGGCTCTTGTTTGAACTAATACATACGTATAAGACCAACTTAATAGAACTTCTGTTTTTATTTTTCTTTCATTTGGTCTGGTTTTCTGTGACAAATTCGGATAATCAACGAAAACATTACCAGCGGAACTTCAAAGCGTCGCTAGCAGAATTAATCTGAGTTGACTCGGACACTCAGATTATCTTTTTTGAGATCCATGCTATAAGATTAATAGAAGTAAGACAAAATAAAGCAAATTCTTGCTGAGTAAATTCGTTTTAAAAATCACATTCAATGAATATCCTTAAATGTTTATGAGACTGTATTTTTCGTGTCACATTGTGTTTTCCTTTGACGCAGGTGCACCTGTTTGGTGGTGGTTTACTCTGCGAACCGAAACATGATTGTTCCGCGGCAAAAATAGTCACAGTTACAATAAAAATAAGTAAATAGACAGGACTATGGCGATTAACTTGTAAACGTAACACCAAAAAGGCCTACCTTTCTACGAGACAGAAATAAGGAGTTAAAAAAATGCGGAGGAAATATATTAAATATTACTGTGTTAAATACTATTACTATACTATTATATTATATTAATGTATTTCGCGAGTACTAGACTAAAATAATAAGCGGGGACAATCCACACAAATTCATCTGGCTCCAAACTCAAATTCCCTGTACAATGGGAAACAGAGACTGATACATACACTTATATACGTTTAAATACATATTTGTATAAACACCCAGACAAAGAGAATTTCAAAAATGTTTGTCCGACGTGAGAATCGAACCCACGACCCTCGGTCCAGCAGTAAGGAGCGCTAACTGCTTCATCACCGAGTTAAACATCGATTAATAACTTTTTTGTTTTTACAACTTAACGGTTCGTGGTTTAAATTACATGTTACATAATTCGAGACAGTTCCAAAGGTCTGTCAGCACGAAAAGAATGTACGACGAAAATATTTTCACAGGACTCGAGGGGAGCCAGCGAAAATGTCGAAGTCAAGAACCCTTTGCCTCGACTACTTACATCGTTCGTGTGCTCTCCATTTTTATCATATCCCTATGAAATCAAATTTATTATGTGAAATTCAACAGCGTTATTAAATTTCACCACCCTAGTTTATTGGGCAGTGAATAAACCATAAAATGACGCTTAATTCATCAGTTCTATGTACCATAATACATAATTGTACCTTCACCCACCTTCAGAAAAGAGCTCTAAATTTCAATTCTATAATGAAATGGTTACCCGAAGGACGGAAAGAAGTGTGTGATTGTGTGTGAAAAAGCTTTTTATCAATAAATTATGGAAAATACAATATAGGCAGGTCGAATATGTTTATCCGTAGGTTTTCCGAAAGAAACGAATTTATATAAAACAAAATAAAAACAGGGAAATTAGCTATTTCTTCGTATAATTTTATTGCTTCACTGTACGCGATACATCCAGTTGATTTTGCATATAAATGCAGGAGACGTAGCACTCAGCTCACGCTGTGCCTGTACATTTGCATTGTTCAGCCAGTAATAGGTGACCACTGCCCGGGAGAATCGTTGTTCTACGTGATCCAATAACATACGCTCGAAGACACAGCATTTTCCGATTTCCATTAAAAATTTTATGGCTGCGTTGAAGCAACTGAATTAGATAAGATTCCGTTGAAATTATTTTTTTGTACTTAAATCTTGTGATTGAATTTATTGTGAAGGGACATGGATAAGTGTCGTAATTCTGCCGGTTTTTATCGCGGCATAGTATTGTGGCAGGTCTGCGTTCATATTTGATAGTGAAACGGTAATTCCGATACAACTGAGAATCTACCTTATATCTCAAGCTCTCTGTAGGTCTGGTAGATATTACCACCCCGCCTATTTTTGCCGTTTGCCGTAATGCGTTTCAGTTTGGAGGGTGGGGCAGCCGTTGTACTGTAAAAACGGAGACCTTAGAACTCATATCTCAAAGTAGGTGGCGGAATTAACGTTGTAGATGTCTATGGGCTCCGGTAACCAGAAAAGACCAGGTGGGCCGTGAGCTCGTCCACCCAAATAAGCAATAAAAAAATGTATATATTTATAATTTATGTAGGAACTGGATCGCATTTTTTTAAATCGACGAATAGTAAAATCGCGAATGAAGGCTGCGCGAATAAAGACCACTACTCATTAGAAGCTGAGTTGTATGTACATACATAGTCTTCAACTAGCACGTGCTCACCTTCCATACTCCATCCAACTATTTCTAAGCACATGATACAGCTAGACCGAACGGTTGTAATAAATAAGCAGTTGAAGCGTCTCAACCGCAACATATGACTTTAAGTGTGTCCCACGTTCGTAGTGTCATAGAGTTAATGAAACAGTTAATCTGTATTGCGGTGTAGCTTTACTATAGTTCGGTTTTACAATCACATTAGGCACCATTTGGTTTGCGGTTTGTAAATTTACCAGTACTGTTTACCACCGTTGGTTTTAAAGTTCATTATTATTGTAAACCTGATGGAAGGGCTTAGAATGTCGACCTTACGTCCGAAGAGGGCGGCAGTAATTGACAACGCCGCGTCAATTAATCGCTCAATCGCGTCTGCATATCTGTAAGCAAAGCCTCTTGGTTCTTGCATTTCAAAAATAGTACAAATTCAATATGTTGCTTAAAAAATAATAAACAATTTGAATACTGTGCATTCTATTGATTTTTATGACGTTATTTTACAATTAAGTAAGAATGTTTGGTAATAATTGTCGTATTTAAATTAAAGTATTATTTAACAATATGTCGGTTAGTTAAAAATACTCGTATTTAATAATGTATTAAATAAAAAGAAAATAGACTGCATTAGTCTCTAATAGTGGGTAAAGATCTCCTCGAAATATGTCTAGGTGTCACTTGTGTCTAGTTCAAGTCCACTGCTCTACCATGACTTGCTAAGCCATTCTATACTATCTCATTTTGTTGGTCCATCTCTCATCTTAACATTTGTATAAATAGACTTTATTACTATTTAATTTTTATTAAATAGTTGTCGAAACGTAAATTAACTTAATTTCATTATAGTATTAACATAACTGAAAATACATTTTCTTTGTTTCAGATTTACATTATCAACCAAGACCCCCGGCTCCGGAAGGTGAGTCACTCATATGTTTAAATATACAGCAATCTGTGTGATTTAAAGTACTAGAGGGTTTCTGGCACACGACTAATTCAAAGTAAATAGCTGCGATACGACCTCGGAGCCTCGCAATGCTTATCTTTGGTCTACAATCCACATATGTAGGCAGGCTGTGCGGGTGACATGCCAACTTGAAGTCGCGAGCCAACAAAATTGCTTTGTCTCCGCGACTTAGAAGGGCGCTTCCCGCATTATGTTGGCGACACTGACAGCATACATTCTGTCATGTTATTATTTTCGGCTTATTTCGTTGGACAAATAAATACTTTATATGTTTATTGAAGTTTTAGTGAGTAGCGTAATACGTGTAAAAGGACGTACGTATATTGTCTTTCGTACATTTGAAGACATCTTAGCAAAGACACTTATTTTGTTGATAAATCACAGCAGGCACCTGACAAATAATTTGAGAACCAACAACACTTCTTTATTAAATATTAACTTTATTTGAAAATCGAACATTTATACCTTTATATAGACTTTTAAAGAAACGAAGTGAATTTTAAATCGTATCAACGGGAGTTAGAAACCCTTTTCCTTACTCACGTTCAAACCGCACCAGTACGAATTTATTTACCGTCCAGATAATACGGATAATTTAAACAGCACTCAAGGCTGAAAAAGTGCCGCGGTGAATTTCCTAATTTTGTTCCATTCACGAAGCATCCGCCATCATTTTTATCTCCCCTCCCTGTCTCCATTTATCTCGGTCTTCTCCTGCAGCGATTCGCATTCTAACATTTCGTTTGTTTCTTACAAAATTGTTATTTCCGGACGCTTTATTTCTTAAGCGAATCCGTTGACACTCGGCAAGCTTTATACGAAAGCGAAGGAAATAAATTCGCGGTTGAATTCTGATACTTGACCTCTTTTCGAACAGAAAAGACACGAGTCAAACGTAATAATAAAACACTTTGTCGCTCGCTTGCATCCGCAGACACAATTGTATGAAGAATTTATAATGTATTGTTGAAGGTATTTTATTTAATAGCCGAAATGCTAAGTTTGAATCTGGATAGTAATTTTTAAAAAAATGATACAATTTAATCAAAGTTAGTGCTATTAAACTTACGAACCATATTCCTTTTTCTTGTTCCTAATAAAACGATAAGAATTGAGCCGAGAATAGCATAAAATTTTAAAATCAGAAAAGCAATTTTAAATTAACTTTATCGAGCCGCGGTGTGACTGCTCCTGGCAGTGTCTGCTCAGAATTTTAAATAAGCGAAAATCGGTAATCCCTGAAGCCTGAGCTAACAAAACGGTGCTGTGGTGAAACGGATGTTTGCATCTTATTTTGGTTCTCTTTTATAATTCGGTCACGATTCTTACAGGTGAGGTATAAAATTGGGATTTGAGTTACCTTAAATAGAACACGCTGCGTTACATCAAAGCCTCGTTAGTATAATTCTAGTAGGTCTCCGAAATTATTTTCGTTTCTAATCAATTTTAAATGTCAGCACGAATGGTTTCGCAGGCTTTTCTTGTGATGTGATTAAACATAATTGCGTATTTCTTCTCTTCTTCTGAAAATGATAGTATAAATTTTTTTATTTAGTCATTTTCACTTCTATAATGATAAGATCGATATTTTGAAGAAAAAAAAACGTTAAGAAAACCTTACAATTTCCCTGGGTATGGCGTTACAAAACCTATAGGCAAAAACAAGAAAGATGTAACAATTTACAGAAGCGTGCGAAAAAACTTTTTGCCGTTGGGGTGCCGAGTGTGTGTCCCTGGGGGATGGTCGAGCCCATTGCGCCTGTCCTACAACCTGTCCAACATCAACTGCCCCTGTATGCTCCACTGCAGGCCGGACGTATCGGAACCATTGCTACTTGCGAAAAGAGGCATGTGAAAGGCGTCTCAACTTGCGGATTAAACACGAAGGAGAATGTGGTAAGATTTTACAACGATTTCTAACTTTCGTAGCGTGTTTGTTTTTTAAGTTTATTGGAACGAAGTTCCTTATGGGACGATGTGGAGGGTTACCCTAACCGGGAAAAAGCGTCCGTAACGTAAGATTTTCATTAGTAAAGCACACAGTGCACGACCTAACTTTGTAATAACGTACAAATTAGTAATGCAAGTGTACAACTTGACTTTGTAATGTACAAAAAATAATTAATAATTTTCATTTCGAAGTCTGAAGCAGACAGCCTATGAGTTGGTAAAGCAAACGGGACTTAAGGAAGGTTTCAGCCTTGTTTAAAGCGGGGGTGTACATTCTAGAGGTTTATAGTATAAAGTAGAAAGGTTCTCATGTTCGGGCGTTGCTGGAATAACCCCTTAGGCTACCAGCGAATAGGTGAAAAAAAAAAGAAAAGTCCTTTGGAAACGAACTTGTTTTGCAAGTGGTTCCAAATTGCAAGTCATAACTCTATAACGTAAATAATACACAATTAATTTTTCTAACGGGAACCAGGCACTACAAAGTGTATTCCGCCTCTAATTTATGATGTCAATTATATTAGAAAACCAGCTATACGAATACGCACGAATATACATAGGTAGTAAATAAAAATACGTGCGTAGGTTGTAGTAAACAATTGGAATGTAAGGTTAGGAAGCATTGGTACTCCAACCAATGCAAATTTTTACATTATGTGTTTCATACCTTCACAAGGGCTAAGATCATTTGCGAACACTATTGTTTAGATTTTGACAGAGAATCGAACTATGGCGTTATTATGGGTACATTGGCGGTCTATCTATCCGACCGTGGACGATTCGAAAGACGTAATTTAATTTGTGTAAACTTTCTACAGAAGCAGGAGATCCGTGTACGAGCGTGACTTGCCCTACGGGGGCAAGGTGTGTCTCAACGTATGGGCAAGCTGAATGCAGATGTCCTCGTAGTTGTCAAAGACGAAAACCTGTCTGTGGAACAGATGGCAAGGAGTATTTGTCCACATGTCATCTCGACAAGCATGCCTGCGACAATCAACTGAACGTGACTATCAAATACCATGGAAAATGCGGTAAAGAACGTTGTTGCCCATACTTTTTTTAGTGCCTTATATGGTCCATAGTATTGGAAGACCTATATTTAATTACGTAGATAGGTAAGCGAGCTCACGGCTCACCTGGTTTTAAATGGTAACCACGTTAATAACACCACCCATCTTGAGACATGAGTTCTAATTTTCAGTTCTATGATACAAGGGTTGCTCCACTTTATTTTGGCTGGTCGTCGGGAATTCTGTGAAGACGTTCAGTTAAGCAAATTCATTCTGTTTATTTCTACAGAAAAGGACTCTTGCATTAAGTTGTAAAAAGTGGGACTGTTGTTACACAATGAAATTGGGGCTTCGACAAACTTTCTGAAATAGATTAACGACTCCTTAAATAAGAAAGATTTATTAAATCCAATAACTATAATACATTAACAGAATGGTTGTAAACTTGTAAAAAGAATGAAAGTAAAGTAATCGAAATAGGTAATTAGACTCATCGTAATTATGGAAATGCAACACGTTTTATCATTTCTTACTCCTCCAGTTTTCACACTTAATGAGGTATTGTTAATTGCGAAAGACTTTGTATTGTTACCGCGCAGTGTCCAAAGCGTTAATTCAAAAGAACTCGTTAGTGAATTCTCTACGCTTTTATTAGCTTCAGACGTATGTATGTATGTTTGTAACAGAATCTGGACATACATGATTTTGACCCCCTTCAAAACGTCGGATTAACTCGAAATTTGGTATACTTATTAAGGACCGATGAAAATTCAATATTAAAAAATAAATAAAAAAAATTGAAAAAATTGAAATACAACTCAAAAATGAAAAATGAATAATAATTTAAAAAACTAACAAAATACGCTTTTATAGAAAATCCAACTAAAAAATAGAAAATAAATTTAAATTACAAATAGTGTAAGAAAAAATTATTTTATTGTCAAAAAGCGTGTGGGGTGCTTTTCAGGATATTATCAAAATAACCCTTCAACTCATATCTGTTCATAAAATTCCCCACGCTTTTTTTACAATAAAATCATTTTTTCTTACACTATTTTTAATTCAAATTTATTTCCTATTTTTTATTTGAATTTTTTACAAAAGCGTAATTTGTTAGTGTTTTTAAAATATTTATAATTTTTTTTTCAATAATAGTTTTAAGAGTACACAAAAGATTTCGTCACTCGATAAAAAAATCCGACCAGCATTTCATTTTTGCCAGAAAGAGGACATTATTATGACGGGTGTACGACAGTATCCGAATGAAATCGACACTCCCAGGGAAACCTTTCGCGCGTTTTCTTTGAGTGACACACACCCACACCTATGGGAAAACTATTCACGAACTTTGAAAAGTCACTCTGAATGACGTGTATCAAATATTCCTTTTGTATTTAATTCTTATTTATGTTATAAAATTGTAGATATATTTAAGTACCGCGTGTGATTTTAATAAAATGTATCACTTAAATCTATTCTTATTTTTTTGAGTTAGATAGTTAAACACACGGCTTACCTTTTTGTATTGTATAGACCGGTGAATGAGTTTAAGGTCGACCTGGTGTTAAGTTACCGCAGTCCATAGATATAACAATGTGAACGTAATCCACTTGGACCTTCAGGCCTGTACCTCATCGTGGGAGTCATTCGTGAAAATGAGCTATTTTTTTTTATATTTTTTTATTGCTTAGATGGGTGGACGAGCTCACAGCCCACCTGGTGTTAAGTGGTTACTGGAGCCCATAGACATCTACAACGTAAATGCGCCACCCACCTTGAGATATAAGTTCTAAGGTCTCAGTATAGTTACAACGGCTACTCCACCCTTCGAACCGAAACGCATTACTGCTTCACGGCGGAAATAGGCGGGGTGGTGGTACCTACCCGGGCGGACTCCCAAGAGGTCCTACCACCAGTGATTACGCAAATTATAATTCTGCGGGTTTGATTTTTATTACACGATGTTATTCCTTCACCGTGGAAGTCAATCGTGAACATTTGTTGAGTACGTATTTCATTAGAAAAATTGGTACCCGCCTGCGGGATTCGAACACCGGTGCATCGCTACACACGAATGCACCGGATGTCTTATCCTTTAGGCCACGACGACTTCAAACATGGAACATGTTTCATAAGAAATACCTGGTAACTGCATAAATACCGACGTAACCACATCGCTTAATACGATTACACCTAGCAGTCTTATCCTTTGGGCCACGACGAATTCTTTTTCCTCTCTCTTCATCTGGTCTTAAAAGGTTTCTAAAGCCCACGGAATATTAACGAGAGTAAATACTACCAACCTTCTTATTTCTATCGGAGTTAGGATAGCCGTTAATAAGTAAGACTTCGAACTCATGCTTCAAGGTGAGTGGCGGTATAGGTATAGTACGTACGTTCTTCAGTTTTCGCGTGTCGTCCGTGACCACGTAAACGGTGAAGCAGTCGAGACGAAATAGAAAAATAATAACCACAGAATTAAACCGTAAACGTAGTTTTAATTTTGTTGGCATTCATTTTGTATCGTCTATGACAGTGATTCTCGATCACTGTATCGTGGCACTCTTGTGTGCCGCCAAATTGAAAGTAAGACAAAAATATAATCGTAAATTATTTTGCATAGTATATTACGGGTGGGTACGTAAGTAACCGACCTTTAAACTTATCATTTTCACTGTTTGCCGTCGAAATCTTGGAACCGTTAAAAATATCGCAACAAAAAAATTTGAGAATCACTGGTCTATGAGCTGCGAACTATTGCTTCATACCAAATAGAACTTGACCCCTATATACCCCTCTAAATCAATGAAATAAAATTAAAAAAAAGTTTAAAAGGGTACGCGTCTTTTTCATAACATTCAATCAATAACATTTTTCCTTCAGACGAGTAACGTTTGTTTTGTAACCCTTTTCACGAAACTTGTCTCGGAGCATTCGATCTGGAACTAAATTTGTACAAGTCCGAATACCCGCACATTCCGACATCCTTTGTGAGATTCTCTATTTACATTACGGGCTTGCTTTGAGCTTTTATTAAATTGTTTTATCTCGTCTTTGTCTACGGCCGCCTCCTTTTGCTTTTATTTCAACAAAAGACATTGATTTCGACAAATCTGTGTTATCCGGCCACTTTTACTGACATATAGTTCATTGAAGTACAACGTCTAGCTTCAAGAAGCACAAAATTTATGTGAGCGGCATATTAGTTATTATTTCGAAATCCCTTTGAATTTCTAGATCTATTCGGAATGTCCTCAGATCCATGTTCGGAGCACGAATGCGCCGATGGAGGAGTTTGTCAGCTGAATGAAGTCAGGTCACCGACCTGCCGATGCGGTCCATCTTGTGATTTAATCGTACGACCGGGCTCAGCTGTGTGTGGCTCCGATTACAAAGACTACCCCAGTGAATGCGCGTTACGAAGGGAGTCGTGCCGAACTAGACAACAGCTCACTATAGCGTACCGTGGAGAATGCGCTTCAGGTTGGTACTACAATCGCATTACAACTCTAAATTGCCTAAGCAACAAATAAAATTGCGTATTTGCCAGTGGTAGGGTATCTTTTCAGCACGCACGGTTGGCTATTACCACCCTGTTTGTTCTTGCCGTAGGGTGGGGCAGCTTTTGTACTGTTAACGTGGTGGGTCGTTACTAGTCGTTAGTTCCATCGTCAACTCATTAATAAAAAATATAATTGATTATTTACTAAATTTAGTATTGATTGTACTCGATTCTTCATATCATACGCATTCTAGTGTCGTATATCTTCTTCAGTTGCGGCTTAGTAGTTATTGGTACTTCGAAGAAGATTACTAAAAAGAAGATACAGAAGACGTATCAATTAACGTTTTTTTAATATTTAATTTAAAATATTCTATGATCCACAATATTGTTACCCGCTAGGGTTCGGGATAAATAAAAATTCATTGTATTCAACACTTAGAACACTTAAAATCCTTCACAAACATTTTAAAATTCTCAGTTCACTTCTTCCGCTTCGCTTCAGGTGATCCGTTCGCTGTTTCACTTCTAGTTGTTCCGATTACTAACTAACTGCGTGCCATCTCTGCAGCGCTTTAATAGCCGATACCACATCCCTAGAATGATCGAGAATACTCCACACACTTCGAGTATTGTGTTTCCGCTATCTGACAATAGATGGCGTTGTGCTTTTCGAGCGTTCTAGGTGCTACTAGATCCTCCGATATTCGTTCGACTATTCGGCGATAGATGGCGTTACTCTTACCGACGTAACAATATTTTAAAAAAACGCATATTACAATCACGCAAAATACATTTTCATTAAAATTCCATCTGTACCCCGATTCTTTTGTCAAGTTAAAAACCATTAAATTATCTAATCCGAAACGTACTTACTTTAATTTACATAATGTCTCCCTGTTGAGCAACAAACACTCACGAATATTTATAGATGAAAATTTTTAGATTACAATTTCATAAGAAAATAGTCTTTCACCCAAGACGCTTGTGTCCTAATCTGAAATTAAATCTTTATTCGAAAATGCAACCCTATTGTGGGCGCTGTTAAGCAGGAATTTTCTTCTGACGAAAGTAATTTTTGTTACGAGAATCGTAGCATTAAGGCGGTCTAAAGAGTTATAGCGGGGTAAGACAATCATTTGTACACAGGCTCTAGAAAGGGTTGTTTATTCCACCTATCTTACGTCTCTATCTGACACAATTTTATTTCTGACAATTTTACTTTTTTTATAAGCTCAAAGCGTATCTTATTGTTCTATAAAAGCATAATAAAAAATAAATAAATTAGGAGCTGATTCCTGTAACAATATTCAACAGCACAACACCCGTGCGACTCTGTGAAGTGCGGTCTCCGAGAATTATGTACTCTGGATGCGCGCGGTGTTGCTGTGTGTGGATGCGGCGTGGAATGCGAGGCGATCGTCCGGCCAGTGTGCGGAACCGACGGACGGACGTATGACAGCCATTGCCATCTAGAGCGCGCCGCGTGCCTCGATAACCGAGATATCCGTGTTGCGTACGCGGGACCTTGTGGTGAGTCGAATTCGCGAATCATCTGGCCGATATGGGCAATACAATGCGAGTCACGTCACTTCTCGCAATCTGGGTCAGTGATAATATATCAAATTCTTCGGTGGATTATTAACCGTAACTCTGCTCCGCAAGTAATATGTCGTGAGTTGTGTTATGCTTACCTACTATTAGTGGGACTATGATTAGATTGTAATTTTTTGTTATTTTTATGTAGTAATTAAAATTGTATTTACAGACATTAATACTTGTAATCATGCCCGGCTCTTAAAGTATTGCTGTAATTAATTATTTTTGTGTACATACGGTATATACTAGCTGCTGACTTAAAAATAATAATTCTTCTAAATTCTCATTAGGACTTGAAGATTATTCAGATTTAGTTGTATTCGTTTTTGTGTCTAAATATGGAATAAATAATCCAGGTTTGGAAAATCCGTGCGCTCGTGCGTCGTGTCCGTGGGGCGGCGGTTGTGTTGCGCGTCACGGCGCAGCGCAATGTGCTTGCCCGGTTTGTGACGCGACACTAGCGCCGGTGTGTGCCACAGATCATAATACTTACGGAAGTGAATGTAAAATGAGAATGCACGCATGTCAAGAAGGGATAAAGGAAGGGGAACTGCGTGTGCTCTACAACGGATCTTGTCGTAAGTTTAATCGAATCTAGAACTATTTTTATTTCACTAATATTAGTTTAGGCAAAAATGAGTATTAACAAGAATGAAAATTATTTTTATATTATATATTCACTCCATCGTTCATATTTAGATACTGTCCATAGACATTGTTGGAATGTCCATTTTTATGTGTTTAAAAAAAATTCAATGACCACGAAATTACCGTTGGAAGTTGTACCGGTATGGCATAAGCAGTGTGTACGTACCGTGCAATGATATGGTTGGCTCTAATATTATTCCGCATTATTATAACTCTGCAAGTTTATTTATCTTATACTATAACAATCCTAAAGTGACGAAGCAACTCCTTGTGAAATTAACCAGAATACTCAGAAGCCATAAAGTAACGCGCTTCGCTTTTTATAACTTTATGGCCAGGCCAAGCCAAGATCCCATATACTTAATAAGCGATCTCAATTGCTTGTTAACGCAATAAAATTTCATTCCAGATAAATTACACAGAAAGGTGACTAATTCCTTTCGCCTTCATATTTTTACATTTCAACAACGAAGAATGCTTCCATTTGTCATTTAAATTAAAGTGTCCTGGCCGCAGCACTGAATTTAAAGATAAAATAAATTAAGAAAATTCCTTTCAAAGAAAAATCGCTATCAATTTCCTGTGATGAAAATCTCTTCCTTTCGCGAAATTACTGATACTTTTTAGCTTGATAAAAGTCGCGCAGGGCCTGCTTCCTGTTGGATAAGTTTATTGAAGTAACTTTTCAAAGGACTAGGATTAGATTAGATAAGTTGATTGTTTAATGGCGACAGATCGGTTCGCTGTAGGTTTTACTTAGACTAACTACTGCGATCGATTTGAAATCTTTTAGAAGAGAACAAGATTACGAGCTCTTTTAAATTTACCAGCTATCTAATACATTTTAAAAACTATTATACATTGCCGGTACCGAAGTGAATGTTGTTTAGGCGAGTCATAGATTTAATTTAAAGTTTTTTTACTCATGTATAAGTTGCTAAATTACAACAGGTAATTTTCGTAAATATTGAAGTTTTCATTCCTTGCTACAATGAACCTAGACCCTATACCAAACTTCTGGATCATTCTAAAGGTCGATTAGAATTTCCGTGATCTCTGAAAAAGAAGATGCAACTAGCTAAAGATGATTATGCCAACGTTTTGATTGCTTGAAAAATTGTACTATACAGAGTAACTCTGTATTATAAAATAATTTTATTTATTTGAATTTTGAGAACAATGCTACAGTAAATGAAATGTATATTGCGGTCAGCAAATAAGCTGAGTTTATCATTAACCGGCGTGAACACGAAGCATAGATCGAAAACAGAACTGATAAAAAAAATACAAAGAAAAAGACTAATATGGTTTTAAGATTAAGGTTGAAATTATATTGTAAAAAAACACCTCTGTTCCTGTGTTTTTTCGTGAATGTTTTCCGAATCAAATCCAATCGTATTGCGAAATTCGAGGGTTCGGAGCATTACTAAAATGTCGTATCCGGAATAGAAGACAATTTCAAATTGGCACTGTCTCATAATATGTTTTTTTTTTTTTATTGCTTAGAGGGTTGGACGAGCTCACAGCCCACTTGGTGTTAAGTGGTTACTGGAGCCCATAGACATCCACAACGTAAATGCGCCACCCACCTTGAGATATAAGTTCTAAGGTCTCAAGTATAGTTACAACGCTTTCCCACCTTTCAAACCGAAACGCATTACTCCTTCACGGCAGAAATAGGCAGAATGGTGGTGGTACTCATCCGCGCGGACTCACAAGAGGTCCTACCACCAGTAAATTCCAGTAGTGTAGCATTATATACCAGTAGTATAGCATTCAATTATAACAGCTTGCGTTTTATCAAGTTTCTCTTGCTCGTATCTAGTAAATCGGTATCAAACTTTCAATGTTCGTAGTTTTCTTAATAAATTACATTTGATGTTAAGCGACTGCCGGAGCCCATACAGATGACACAGAATTCTACTGCCGACACCGACATTAAAGTCAGAGAGTGATTAAGGTCACAATTGTATTCTTCTTCTTCCAGTGCCTCTTCAATCCTGAAGGTTGGCCGTTAGCTTTCTGTATTCCTTTCTGTCAGCAGCCAGTCGGAACAGCTGTTCGACGGAGGCAATACCGGTCCACTCCCGGATATTCCGGAGCCATGACTTTTTTCTTCGCCCAGCACGTCTCTTTCCGTTCACTTTGCCCATAATTATCAGCTGCAGCAGCATGTATCGATCGTTCCTGAGCACGTGGCCGAGATACTCTATTGATGCAATTGTATTGATCTTTCCTTTTAAACTGGAAATTGACAGCAGAAATTATTTCCAATCATTTGACATTTACGAAAAAAAAAAAATATCACCGAGACTGTGATTACTTCTTTTAAGTGTTTGCATCTTAAATAAAGCTTTAAAGCTCTCGACGGAAATTGAACTTAACGAGCTCGACTTTATAATGGAGTGATGAACGAAGGCTCAGAATTAATTTTATTAGTCAAACGCGTCGGACGCCATTGATTAAACAATATCTGGGACAGGTACAGTGTCTTAATGAAATTTCTACGACGAAAACATTCTGAGATTTTCCATTTTACAATAAATTAGATAAGATCAGTTAGGAATGAATTATTGTGAATTCAATCATTTTGTACCAGCGTTTAACTACTCGCTGCGAAGTTTGGGAATCGTTTATGTCAATCAAGCTAGAAGTAAATTTGGTTTGTACAGAACTGGTTTATTTGAGATTTTATTTTAAGTCTAAAATTTCTGCGAGATGTAATTAATAAAGACTCCTTTGTATTGTGTAACGGTTGTTCTATAAATTTAAACACCCAAAACGCGATGTTTCGCGGCAGAATTACGGGTTTGCTGTTGATGGTCGTAGAACCTCTTGTGAGTCCGCGCGGGTAGGTACCACCGCCCTGCCTATTTCTGCCGTGAAGCAGTAATGCTTTTCGGTCTGAAGGGTGGGGTAGCCGTTGTAACCATACTGAGATCTTAGAACTTATATCTCAAGGTGGGTGGCGCGCTTTCGTTGTAGATGTCTATGGGCCCCAGTAACCACTTAACACCAGGTGGGCTGTGAGCTCGTCCATCCATCTAAGCAATAAATAAAAAGATGATAACGTGGATTTATGAATTTTGCTGGTTTCGTTTTTTTATTATACCATATTTAATTCCTTGTTCGGTCGTGAATATGTTTTAATTATGTATTTAATTCGAAAAATGTGGCAATTAGGTTTTGTACCACGGTATTTGGGGTACAATAAGGATTTTGCCTTTCAGTACACAGTATACATATTGTGTACTGCGTTGTACAAATTTAAACGAATTATCTTTATCTGTTGCTGTTGATTTTGTTCAGAAACCTGCGCTGACGTCACGTGTCAAGGAGGCGGAGACTGTGTGGTGGATATTGAAACTGGCCGCCCTACATGCCAATGTAATCACAATTGCACTGAAGCACAGGTAACTCAATTTTTTTTTCTTAAAATAGCGAGATGAGTAACAAAAATTACTACATTATATAAAAAACTAGAGACACAAAAGATAGTAAAAACAAAACTAATTTGCAAGAAAACCGGTCTCTTCGGTAGCTATTTCTCTTACACGCTTAATTAAGAGCTTCACTTAAAAAGTATAAAATGAAGTTGAATTTTTAAATTTTCTCGGATAAAGTTCGCATTGCTAGTTTATAAGGTTTAGAATACAAACTTTATAACATTTAAAATATCTTACCGACTACGTGGTATGAAATTGATACCGGAGTCCTTTGATATACATAGCACATGAGTTCTACCACACAATTGTAAAATAAATGTTACAATTGTGTGGTAGAACGTCAATCGTACTCTTCAAATTTGAACACATTATTGTGTCGTGGTAGAAGTGGGCAGGGAAGTCATGGTACATCCACCTGGGCGGGATCATAAGGAGCCCGTTTCAGTAAATGTGGATTTGCGATCGCATGATGCCGGTATAACCCTCATAGCTGCCCATCCTCTGGGGAATTTTCGAGTTGCGTTTTACAAATCTCCCAGGACGAGATAGGTTTATGCTATTCTAAGCCAAAATTGACATATTTGACATATCGTCGTTGTCAAACCAAAATCTGCTATGTGCAAAAACTCTATTTTGGATAAACGAGTAAAAACATTTTCGTATAAAATTTTATATGAAGGTGAATTTTTAAGAACTATATCAAATGAAAGCTATATATAAATATTAAAGCTATAGACACATAACAGTTTCTTTTATACGGTAGATAGGGCTGTGAACTATGCGCAAAAGGTCAAAAAGTAAAAATCTCAAAAAGTGCACATAGCAGATTTTGGTTTGACAGCGACGATATATCGAATGCGATCTCTTAGAATTGACAAAATACACATTTATTGAAACAACGGGTGAAACATCGCGAAACATGTCGCAAACAAAGTCGCTTTCTCTGTCCCTATATCTGTCTGTTCCTATGTATGCTTAAATCTTTAAAACTACGCAACGGATTTTGATGCGGTTTTTTTTAATAGATAGAGTGATTGAAGAGGAAGGTTTATATGTATAATAACATCCATTAAATAGTGAAGAAATCAATAATAAATTACAGTTTCCGAAGTGAACCGAGGGCGGGTCGCTAGTTGTCTATATTCAAAACCTTCTCCCGAGTAATAACAAGAAGAATTTTGAACTGATTCAAATGAACGATACGCCAAACGATGCCGCCAAACAAACATACGAATTTAATTAATAAAAGATGCCAAGTTGAAATACTTATAATTACAAAGCTTATATTTTTTGTGTAAACATCACAGTGAAACTGATTTTAAGAATTGAATGAGTATTGAGTGGTAGGACTTCTAGTGAGTCCGCACGGGGAGGTACTACCACCCTGCCTATTTCTGCCGTGAAGCACTAATGCGTTTCGGTTTGAAGGGTGGGACAGCCGTTGTAACTATACTGAGATCTTAGAACTTATGCGGTATTTTGGGGTCTTTATTCACCTATCTTCGACGACAGTAAAAGCACCTTTTAAATGAGGCTGTAACTACTAGATAGTTGGAACGTAATAAACGAAAACTATTTATCATTGATATCCCATGTGAATGGGAATGAACAGAGACCGCAACGAAATATTCAGCGATAAAAGGGTTAACCAAAAGCATTTAAAATTAAACAAAGCATATTTTTTTCACACACGAAAAACCTGACATAATTTACCCGTGTATTTGGGTGGCAGGAATCGGACGTGGTATGCGGCTCGGATGGTCAAACATACCCCTCGCAATGCGAGTTGGACTCGACAGCGTGTCGAGAACAAAGTGATTTGCGGTTCGCCTACAAAGGAGATTGCGGTGAGTCCTGTTAATTACGCATTATACAGACTATTGACGTCAGCCTCGGAATGTAAGGATATAATGCCATTGTATTTGACCCTGTTCGGTATTGTCTTCGGTTTTCTTTCGCCGTAGACATACTTCTTCTGCTTTTATTATTTTAAGTCATTATTTTGTTTCCAAAGGACGATAATTACCACGAAAACTGTAAGGTGGTTGTAATTATAACATTGTTTGTTTGAAATTTTTTGCTTAAGTTTATTTTGTTGAAAATTGTCTTTAAAGAAATATTGTCGTATATCCTAATATTGTTGCTATTTAACAATCAACATAAATTACATAAGGATAACTACGCAATGTGCTACAGTAATAGTTTCTACGAACTGAACTAATTCAAATTGATTTTCTATAGCTTTCATTCGAATTTCATGAATATACAATAATCACGTAATTAAGTGACACTGTCGAAATGCTATCAAAATACTCAGAGATTAAGCGAACAATTCCGTTTCAATGCATCAATGGATTACAAAGGTGCATTGATCGCGAGGGCCGTGACCCCGACTTAACCTGTTAATATAATACGGATAATTTCAGAAACTCGATCTCCCCCAAGATATTGTACATTGCTAAAAGCTTTACGACATGAAATTATTCGTACAAAGAGTTCAAGGTACAAAGCATATTTGCAGTTATAATGAAGGATTAATGGCGCGTCGTATAAGAAATTATAACGCGTAAGTAGGTTGTCAAATGCTCAAATATTATTGTATGTGATATGAGACAATGGTGTAACGTGAGGGAATTAAGAATTTATCGCAAACGTTTTACCTTGTGTTTACAGACATATATTCAGAAATTTCATATAGAGTTTTTGAGCATATTAGTATTAAATATTTACATATATTTATGGAATTCATGAAGACGTTTTGGACCGTCGGTCTACCGAGCAAACACCACCCGCTCGGTGGAAGATCTTCCCTTTGTCGTAAGCCCCAAAGGCTAATATTTATATGATAGCGGTAGGCAGCGGCTTGGCTCTGCCCCTGGCATTGCTGAAGTCCGATGGGCGACGGTAACCACTCACCTTCAGGTGGGCCGTATGCTCGTCTGCCTACAAGGGCAATAAAAAAAAAAAATGTTCTAGATATTTTATCGAATCCCCAAACTTCCAAACCGCGATCAATGGACTAGCCGTTTGATGAACATGAAACCTAAACTTGTCAATATTTGTAACATTCCCTGAGAAGAGAGTTCTAAAGGGATTAAAATCCTCAATATCGGGCACTTCGAGTACAGACAGATTAAGTAAAGCGCCTTTGTGGCATCCTTAACTCCCGTTACTTAAACTTGATACACCAAGGTGTTGAAATTTCGCTTCCAAAATTTGCTTCGTTGTTTCTTGTCATTATCCCACAATTCCCATTGTTAGTACGAAAATAAATTCTATTTTGCCATAATATTGGCTTCATTTTTGTGATTTCATAAGAGTTTGTCATCACATGAGTATGGTTTTGTTCCACATTTTTGAGCTTTTTTTTTGTTACACGGTAATTACAGTTTTAAAGTTCTACTGTATAAATTTCTAAATTTAAGTATTACTAGATGATGACCTATTGATTATGATGATACTAGATTTTTTTTTGATAACACCATCTTGTTGTGTCTTTAAAGCGGTTAGTTGCCCTCAACTAAGAAAAATAATATTATAACTCGCCAATAGATGTCGGGAAGAGCTGATGATTGAAAACACGAATAAAACAACATTTTCTGAAAATAAATCGTAGCTAGATCGATTTATCGCCTCCGAAATCCCCTGTATACTAAATTTTATGAAAATCGTTGGAGCCGTTTCCGAGATTCAGATTATATATATACAAGAATTGCTCGTTTAAAGGTATAAGATAAAATAAATTTATTAAATGCAGACTAGTACGTAGATAATTTTTTTTATATAAAATTTTAATTATTCTTTATTCCGGCAAATTTATTCTGTAACAAGTACAAGTTCTGGGAAGATTTTAAGGCGAAGTGTTAGTATTGAAGTAATTAGAGATGAGTTATCATTTTATTTGGAACTATTGGAAATTTTTGCTCACGTAATTTTATAGGATTCTTACAATTATGTTGTTAAATAATAATATGACTATAAATAAATAATAAGGGTACAAATAATCCTAGTTTCCATCATATTTTGTCTCCTTCAATTCGTATATCAATCCCAATGACAGAACGGGATGTAACTATTGCTAGGTAGAATACATTTTGTTTGTAACTAGACCGTTAGAAAAAAACTTGTGTATCGATTTTTGTTGATGGCTGACTCATTTTGAATTCTGAAACTAATAACGATATTGTCGTGATGTGACAGGCAATCTGAAATTTACGTATACAATAATTAATATCATTTATGAAAATTTTCGATGCAAGGTATAGATAGCTATACTGAAAAGTTTTAATATTTACGTTTTAAACTTTAAAATCGTGGACGGTAAAATAACCAAAGAACACTATATCATAAAAAAAAATTATCAAAAAAATCACATCGCATACTTTTTAATTTTAAAATCATTTGTAGTTAAAGCCTCGAATAAGAATTCACTTTTTATCACAGAAAGCAAATTAGAATGAAACAGCCCGTGTTTTTCACCTACCTACTTTAAAATTTTATTACGAAACATCTTCCATTTCCCGTCCGACATTAATCGAGCGCTTTCACGAGTCTTTCATTTTGCGGGGAAGTGGTAAACAATCGTTATTAAATTTGCACGGGTGCTTTCCCTCATCCCTCATTGCGGGCACGAGAGCGCCCAATTTTCTTTAAGGACACAGTAGAGAGGACATCACGGGACACTCACACAAATGTCCACGCTAATGATATTATCTGAAAAGCCATTAATTTCTTGAAAACTTTAGTCAGATCTTTAGTACCGTCCACATCCATTAGAGCAAATAATGTATGATATGTGGAATAGTTAGTTGTTTTTTATAACGCAAAATTTTACGCCCCACTTTATTTACGTAGAAAGTGAAAATATTTTTGAATTGTAGAATGTTAAGGAGCTATTTAAACCCTTATTTTGAAACATTCTTTATTGGTGCTCCACTTGTATTGATCTTACCGTGATGTTATATAGCCTTCCTCGATAAATGGGCTATCTAACAATGAAAGAAATTTTAAAATCGGACCAGTAGCTTCTGAGATTAGCGCGTTCAAACAAACAAACTCTTAAGCTTTATAATATTAGTATAGATTTTGAAATCATCTTTTATTTTGGCAGCGCTGTGCGATGGTATACAATGTTCGTTTGGAGCATCATGTGCGGCGGGGGAATGTATTTGTCCAACCGACTGCACTGGAGCGGCGCGTGAGCCAGTTTGCGGCAGCTCTATGCAAACTTATCCCAACGAGTGTGAACTGCAGAAGGCAGCCTGCAGATTGCCTCCGCCGGGAACACTACACGTCATATTTTATGGAGACTGCAAAGATCGCCTAGCCGTGGTGCCGCCAATAGCTATGAGTACGTTTATAGTTTTAAATTTATAAATTCATTCATCTTCTTTAAAGACACGACTAACTGTTTTGTATTGAGATTACGTGACACAATCCGGTGTTTGCTTGGTTTAACACACATTACGAATGCAATAGAAAATGAAATCAATTTCATTTTCACTTTCACTGAACGCGCCGTAGCTCGGACGGTGGGACGCAGCGAAAATATTTACTACCGGACCGTCATCGACACAGTTGTTAGCTGTAATTCCAATAAAACGAGCCCGCCCTCGATCAATTAACTAACTTTCCGCTTTATCGCTCGACTAACACGCAAATATTTGGGGATGGGTAGCGACGACCGCGATGACCACGACCGAGGCGGAGGAAGGCTCCACGAACGTCGCGGCGACGGATGGGGGCGCGCCAGACTCGGCCGTGTGTCGCGACATAAGATGCGATTTCGGCGCCAGCTGCGAGGTCGGGGCTGATGGATATCCGCGTTGCTCCTGCCTCTTTGAGTGTCCGCATGACGATGAATACTTCCCGGTTTGCGCTTCGGATTTTAGGCTTTACACGAGCCTGTGTGCTATGCGCAAAGAGGGCTGTCAAAAGCAGCTCGAGCTGAGGTTGCGGCCGCTGGACCTTTGCAAAGGTGGGTCTTTGTGCTTCACTAACATAGCTAAACAGTTTGTGGGCGGAATCAATAGTAGTTTCGTTTTGAGTGTTATTATTTAGCGAAATATACACGCTTTCGAAAATGAAGTGTCGTAACCGCAGGTATGGAAGTGAGGCCTTGCGGTAACAACAAAGCGATGTTGGATCCAACGACCGGTCTTGAAATTGACTGTGGAAACGGACCTCACCGTCAAGATTGCCCCGCCGGTAGCTACTGCCATATCACTTTGACCGCTGCGCGATGTTGTCCTAAAAGTAAGTAGCGCAAACTTCAAGTTGGAGTCCAATTACATTAGTGTGCTCAGTAACTTTGATCGAAATTAATTTCTCAACATAAATTGAAAGCTGAACAGAAAATTAAGTCAACGTCAGCGACAGTTTTAATATCACTGTAGGCTTGTCGTTTACAAATTAAAAATTATACAGTCTGTTACGTTTGAAATTAAAACGAAAATCACGGGTAAGTGGTCTATTTTGTTTTCCGTTTAGATACGAATCATTGTATTGTTGTTTCGTTGTTATGCTTAAGTTATATAAATATAAGCAGAAAGACATATGTATGTACGTTTTAGCGTGCGTCTAACATTAACAAAACCGTTGAAAGGCTTAAATAGAAATAATAAACACACGAATACGTCTATCATTTTCACATTTCCATAACATTACGTTCCCCCTTTTGTGATTCCATTCATAATATAGTACCCACCAAACCGGTGATTTGTCACGGTGAAGATACTAACGGTACGTGGCACCACGACTAAATTGTATGAAAACACGCTAACCGTTTGTCGCTCTGAGTCCTTTGTCGTCCTGGCGGAATATTCCGATATCACATGCGAGAATTTTCCAACAGACGATTCGAAGCCGGCGGATGAAAAAAAGTCGCATTGTTCGGAAAGTACGTATGGATGTTGTTCGGATGGTTCGACTCCAGCCACCGGTCCTCATGAGGAGGGTTGCGTCCCTAGCACGAGCTGTGGTTGCAACAGACTTGGGTCAGTTAGGGAGCAGTGCGACGAGAGCGGTCAGTGCTCGTGCCGGGCGGGCGTGGGCGGACTCAAGTGCGATCGCTGCGAACCCGGGTACTGGGGTCTGCCCAGGATCGGAACGGGACACGCCGGTTGTATACGTGAGTATAGCTCACTACCTTTAGACATAACCATATTAAGAACTAACTACTTACCTACAAGCGATATTCGTAGTCCAGCTTGGGACATAGGGCTGAGTTCTTAACTGCACTGGATTGATACAAGAAACAAACAGTCAAAACGGAAAATCTGCCCACTGTAGACTCACAATATCATTAATATTACTGGTGGTAGGACCTCTTGTGAGTCCGCACGGGTAGGTAGCACCGCGCTGTCTATTTCTGCCGTGAAGCAGTAATACGTTTCGGTTTGAAGGGTGGGGCAGGCGTTGTAACTATACTTGAGACCTTAGAACTTATATCTCAAGATGGGTGGCGCATTTACGTTATAGATGTCTATGGGCTAAAATCAGCACACTTAACATTTTTTTGGAGTAATAAAGCCATTTTTTTTTATTTAGCGTGCGGCTGTTCGGCCTTTGGTTCGGTCAGAGAAGATTGCGAGCAAATGACCGGGCGATGTGTTTGTCGAACTGGAGTGCAAGGTCAGAAATGCACTGTTTGTGCCGACCACAGACGCAGACTTGGACCTAACGGATGCTCTGATCGTGAGTTAAAAGTATTTTACCACCAAATATAATTAAACCTATAACGCTAATAGAATATCATTGTTTGGAGGTAAACTTTAAGTAAATGCTTTAAATATAATTATGCTAATTTGAACTCATCCGGAGTTTTCATAGGAAAAACTTTTACAAAATTAAACGTAATAATAAGTGATTTGAATCACTTATTTCGGAAAAGAATCATATGCAAATAAAAAAAACGTATTAATTTCACCTACACGGAATTTTGGGGGTTGAATATAATGATGTGTGAGTTTATTTTAGCTGGGCGGGTTATTTTAGCAGTGACACATTGTAGGTTAAAAGTTATAACAAAAGTTATTTGAAAGTGAATATTTTTGCATTTTTTTAAGACGCACGATGTAGTCTTTATAATTTTAAACGTAACTTATCGGGAGAATGCAAAGCATTTCTTAAGTATATACCTCCTCCTCGCGTCGTTTCCTCACTGCTGATGGTGGTGACCATTATATTTCGACAGGATTTTACTTCTTGTAATGTCCCTCCAGCGCCTCCGATCATTGGCTTCATGAAGGGCTTCGTAGAATGGGATCTCTAGTGTGATGCGGATTTGATCAAACCACCTTGTCGGACTGCGCCCGCGCGGTCTCTTTCCCTCGATCTTCCCTGTCACGAAAAGTCTCTCTAGACTATCGGGGATGTCTATAACATACCTTTCTAATTGTCTATGTTTTGAAGTCCACATTGAATAAATAATATTATAAAAGGTTGCTTCTGTTTTGATTTCCACCAGTCAATAAAATATTTACCTTGTAATAATGGAAACAGTGAAACAAAATATCAAAATAAATCCCTAAACCATTACGTACTAAAATCAATTTTTACATTAAGTATTTACCAAAAAAACAAATCCGAAGGGCTTATTTTTGTTTATACCAAAGCTTTCTTCATCCCTTTTTAATATGAAACTATACATTTTTCGTGAGGGGTGTCTTTATTACGCGAAAGTAGTGGCACCTTACTTGACCCTTGTCAAGAAAATGCTTTCTTCACGTACCCATACCCGTCTCTTAAAGACAGATTCACCTTATAAATTTTACTCCATATAATAATAGTCTGTAATTCGTGAATAAAATAAATAAGTAAGATTCGGCGTAACAATAAAAAATATCTCAATCGAAAATATTGAATTGACAATTGTGTAAGTACTACGAAATCGGATATCTCAACTTGAGAGAAGAACCTAAGACCTATAAATCCTTATTATCAATATTTATTTATTCTTAAGTAAAACCAATGAAACATATGTCTAAAGAAAAATGAGTAGGTATTTTTGTGGAAAGATGGGACTGTCTAGGCATCACATGTGAAGCCGTTGTCTATGGCGATGACTTATTTCAAACCTTGCTTAAAGTAGAATATGTTATAGTGCTGTGGTGGTGTGGTATGTTATAGTGTGGTATTATCAGCCGTTGAACTTTGTAGCGTCCCACTTTCCGTTGTCTAATGATGCAAGCTTACATGCTGATACCACTTCGAGTAATTTCTAGCGTGTATTTTGTTTAAAAGAAAGTAATTTAGGAGTTTATTCTAAAATTGTTTCTGCAGCGGAAACAGGAGGCGTAGCGTCATCTTGTTCGGAACTGTCGTGCTATTTCGGTGCGGTTTGTACTGAGCGTACAGGAGGAGCGCTCTGTGAATGCACAGCAGCACCCTGCCCCGACAGCGATATGAACATGCTGGTGAGAAACATCAATAAAAAAATACGACAATAACCAAAATGTTTATTTTTTTATTTTGTTGACATTAATAAATTTTTGGGGTCATTGCCTTAAAAAGTTTCCTGTGCCGTTCAATCACAACTCTACAAAAAAAATATTTCGTTCTTAGTCTTAACGTTTATACCAGGTTTTTCCGGTTCACAAAAACGAAAATAAAATACCTTTTTTTGGTATAAAGTTTGCTTTTGTGATAGTTATAGTAATAATACAAAATTTTCAACTTTATTATAAATTTTAATTAATGTTAACACTTTAAAAAAAACCGCGTTATGAGAGTGGGGTGTTTACGTTTACACAATGCCACTAGATGGCACCCGAGTCATAAACAACGATCAAATATTTTGTACAAGCCCAGAAAAACATAAAATGTCACGAAAGTGTAAATACGATGCTGATGCATTTTGTTTCATATGTGGTCAATTTATTAAAGTTCAAAAGCAAACTGTTTCATGCCATGTATTTTTTTTCGTCTAATTACAATCGAAATTTTATGATCGGATCAAAGTCAAATTTGATGTTGACCCGTTTACTAAAACACAGGAAATCACAAAAAAAAAATTCGTACCCAATGCTGACCAAAATCCAACAGGTATGCGGCAGTGACGGCAAGACTTACGAGTCTGAATGCCATCTAAAGCTACAAGCGTGCCGCACGCAAGAAGACATCGTGGTACAAGCGTTCGGTCCTTGCAAGCTAAATGAGCTGGCTGGTACAGCCGGCCCCCTCAGACCCTCATCTCCCATTCAATTCACGCAACAAGACGACGGAGCGGCATCCAAATCAACCAGACATCTGCTCAACCCAGATAAATATTACAATAAATACGATTGGACGAAGAAAGAAACATCCAGTGATTTCGACAGTATTTTGACGGGCCAGAAATTTAAAGGTGAGCTAAATACACGAACATTATTATTATTATTATTGCTTTAGATGGGTGGACGAGCTCACAACCCATCTGATGTTAAATGGTTACTGGAGCCCATAAACACCCACAACCTAAATGCGCCACCCACCTTGAGATATAAGTTCTAAGATCTCAAGTATAGTTACAACGGCTGCGTCACCCTTCAAACCGAAACACATTACTGCTTCACGGCAGAAATAGGCAGGGTGGTGGTACCCACCCGCACGGATTCACAAAAGGTCCTACCACCAGTATGAATTGAATTCATAATCCGGTTTAAAGCAGAATTAAAATTGTTTTAGGTAATATTGTTTGAACTCATCAACACATTCACATAACAAAGCAAAAAAGTGGATATAAGTAATTCTAATCTATTTTCAAGCTCGATATTGGTTACGTGTAATTAGTAAAATATTAAGTTTCCTGTACGTCGTAATTGCTGACGTCTTATCATGCTTGGGATAATTATGTGGCGATCTAATTACTACATACAGCAATTTTTTTTTTTTTTTACTAACAGACGACGAGGTCATGTTTCGTTTTCAGCTGAATAATTTAGGTTATACCGAATATATTGCCCAAAACATTTATGTCGTTATTTATGTATTGTGAAGGATAATATAGTCCGATTCGCCTTAACGTTTTTGTGAGACCTAATGTATTACTTAACGAGACGTGACCTCGCGTGCTTGCTTTTTCCGACGTTCATTACTTCCAATGTAGATTTACACGATTCCAACCCAATTTGGAGTCTTATCTTGATAGTGTTTCGGGAGAGCCTTAACTAATTACGATTGAACGTTTTTGTCATGAGTTTTTGTTCTCGCCGACTCCATTACGTATTCCGTTAAAACGCCTTTATCATTGACGTTATTGATTGGACTTCCGTGTACGATTTATTTTCTATGCGGCAGCTTCGGGATTCGTTAGTGACATTGCTTAATTGAAGAACTCACTTTGGGTTTCATTGTTTTTAAATTTTTTCAAATACGCAGTAGTTGAAAGGTAAATTTTATGATGAAATAATTGACTTAATTTAATTAATTCTGGGTTTGGCTTGTTAGTAATTGATTGGTATGCTGTTGTTAGGTACACTTTTATCCACGTCCATAAATAAAACTAGTTATAAAATAATAATAATAAATATTTAAATGTTTTTGTGGTCTTTGTCTTTGTCTTTGTTCAAAATATAATAAATTTAAGTGATCGATATCATTACTTATTTGGTCACAACACTACAACAATCAAATTAGAACTGTCATCGAGAAAATAAAGAAATGGAAATAGTACGAGTATAATATAATAATAGATTTTGACAGTGCACAACTGAGATTCTCTGAGCTACGAAATACCGACAGAAGTGTAAAGTATATGAGTAAATGTAAAGCAAAGTAAAAAGTAAAGTAAAGTGTAAGGTATGTATATGAGTAAAGTATATGAGTAAACGTCAGGTTCGCAAACAGCAACGACGGCAACTGTCGGAGCGGTGGGCGCCCTGCTTGGTGACCTCTGCGCTGAGGACGCGGAGTGCTCAGCACTCGCTGGTGCATATTGCGCGCGCGGCGGCTGCGTTTGTAGACGTGGCTTCACACCCACACTGAACAGAAAGGCTTGTGTTGGTAAGTAAAATATAAAAACAGAGTATAAAGCCCATAACCACAAGGTCTACTCCTCGTAGAAAGGAAGCAAATGAAGTAGGCTGCTATCTCATGTTTACACCAACAGTAAAGTAACAATTAATTTCGGTTTGGTAGCCGTTCGATTTTGATTTCCTGTCTCCAAATAAGGAGTGAAATTTACGTGATGATTTCGTAGCGAGTTGGTCGCTAGCTACATCAATAAAATCTCTAGTTCTTTACTATCGGACACGTTTTTAATATTATGGCATGTTCATAACAATATGGCCGCTGCTACAGATGTAATGCCCCAAATGATGATTGTATCAATTTACCCATCAGCTTTTTGTCACATAAATCGTCAATGCTGTAAAAAGAAACCCTTTACTCATCGTAGTTTTAGTTTATACTTACAGTGTTAAGGAATTCTTATAAAAATATGTAGTGACAACCGGCAGAAGTAACTACCCAGTAATTCACTCTACGAGCAAACATATATGAGACTTAAGATTAAGATTTTACTGTCCATTTTTTATTTTTCAAGTTGTTGTACTTGTGTTGTTGCATTTGAGGCTAAGCTCGTAGTAGCACATATAATTTAAAAAAATAACTGCTCAAAAACAATTCACTCTGGATGGTGTAAGTACATATTCTAACCCATACTCAATAAATTTCAATCTGTTCTCCTTCCTAGAGGCGTTGTACTGAAAAAAAACAGTGATTGTTTTCTATCAGTCATTTACGTTTATAATGGCTAAAAGTTTCAACGTGTCATGTTTTTCAAAATTTATTATTGATTTTAGGCTCATATTTGTACCAGGATAACATTATCGAAGCAGCAGCTATTGATAATCTATTTATAAGCAAATCTGATTAGAGTCTAAATCTGAAACAGTTCTACTTTATTGTAATAGTCTTTGTAGACTTGCTTTAGGGAATGAAACCACGCAAAGGAAATTTTATTCAATCGACCTACTTTCTTAGCTTTATTTTGTATTCATATTTTTTTACGGGTACATTAATAATTGTGTACATTTCACTACAAAAGTAAAATTTCCATCAAAGTAATTATCTAAAATAACAATTGTATTTACAACCCGTTCGTTAAAATCCGATACGATTTATTTACAGAGCAAATAACGCAAGAGACCACAGAGGAATACAGTGCTTGCCTATCAGAGCCTTGTTATAATCTCGGGACTTGTATCGATTTGCCAGGATCGACTTACACATGTCTGTGTGCCGGTCCTTACACCGGTAACAACTGCGAGAGTCTGGTCAAAGACGAACTATTGAATGCTTATATCGAAACTCCGTCTTTTGACGGCTCATCTTACATACGGCTAAAACCCTTGAAAGCTTATCACAAGTTGAACATCGATATTGAGTTTAAAACGTTCTCCGAGAACGGGGTTATACTTTACAATCAACAAAAGGCGGACGGAACTGGTGATTTCGTTTCGCTTGCTTTGGTCAACGGATATTTAGAATTTAGGTGAGCGATAATACTTATATTTGTTGAATGCTAAAATAATCTTATATTAAAAAAAGAACGAGTTATTTTTAGCCATCTCTTTTCTACTTTGCCTTATTTGTATTCAGGTACAACCTCGGTAATGGCGTTCTAGTTCTGACGTCCTTAGAAAAAATATCTATGAACGAGTATCACAAAGTATCTGCTAAAAGATATCATCGTGACGGTATATTGTCAGTTGATGATATGGAAGATGTTGTAGGGCAATCAATGGGACATTTGAAAGCTTTGGATCTCGCCGAGGATGCTTACGTTGGTTCTATACCTACCAATTATTCGAGGTAGGCTAACTAGTTACATATCTTAATACAATTTACTCTTTATTGCTAATGTAATTTTTTTCATACTATTTTTAAAATCACTTTTCTTGTAATTACAGTCCCTTATATAAATATTTCTTTTCAGGGTATTCGATAATATCGGTACGCGTAGCGGATTTGTCGGCTGCGTAAAGTACTTACGGATAATACGTCATCAAGTAACAAAAAAATTGGGCCGGCCCGACTCATTAGTGATCGCCATTGAAAACGTTCGGGAATGTCAATCGAATCCATGTATGAGTATTCCATGCACGAACGGAGGCACGTGTAAATCTATTGAAGGGTCGGTCACCGAATATACTTGTAGTTGTCCTATTGGATTCCAAGGAGCCAATTGTGATGAGAGATTAGATCCGTGCGAGTCAAATCCTTGTGGATATGATGAAGGGCTATTGTGTGATATTGGAAGCGACGGTGGCCATGTCTGCCGATGTTTATTTGGAGGTGAAATCGGCTCCAATGGAAATACTTGCAGCAATGGTACATCTTTGTTTAATAATTTCGGAAAAATACTCTAAATACCTCATTTATTTTATCAAAATTTGTTGGGGCCTGTTTCAGACGTAACTGTAATTCAAGAAACGTGGTCTCCTCAATTCAACGGGACTAGCTACATTGAATTACCGCCACTCGAAGGCCTGGGCAAAGCGTTCAGAATAGAAATTTGGTTTTTAACGAACCGATTTTCCGGAATGCTCCTCTACACAGGGCAGTCTAATAAAGCCAAGGGGGATTTCATTGCGATTAACTTGGTTAATGGTTACTTACAATTTAGGTACAATTTGGGCAGCGGTATCGCAAATATAACGTGAGTAAACCACTCAATTTTTATTTAATAGCCAAGATTTTATTTAAACAAATAAATGCTTACTTTGGCCTGAATTTCTCTAGCGTTGAAATCGTTACAGGTCCCCGGTACCAATTACAAAAGGTCGTTGGCACCGAGCTCGAGTATCGCGCGCTGGTCGACACGGAAGTCTACAACTCGACCACCATCCGACCCAAAAAGGCCATTCATTACCACCACTGACACATTTAGAATTGACTTTACCGCTGTTTATAGGATCTTTGCCGTGAGTTTAAGTTACTAAATCTGTGATGTCTTTTTTCAAGTATTTATTTTTAAGAAACGTAATTCCGTTATTCATTTTTTGGAATTAATTTTTCCAAAATCACTAACAGCACAGGCGGTAACTAACTTAATTGATTCAGTGGGATAAAATGTGTTTTGATCAAAATAATTACACTTCGTATTTGTAAAAACGATAACACAATTTATAATAACATAATGCTCGGTTTTTTATCCCAATATGAATAAGAATCATAATAATAGATTTACGATTGTTCGCAGCGCTTACATCCGACCGCACAAAATGTCAGGAGTGACGAGCAGTTTTATTGGAGCCTTGCAACAGGTCTTTGTGAATGGTAATCCACTGACTCTGTATAGTGCTGATACGACTAAGTGCTCTATGATTCAAGACGAAGAACATTTACCTTGCGCTACGACTGGCGTTACTAAATACACAGGACCACCTTGTGGAGATGGTGAGTAATTGAAATTTAAATTTTAAAAATCGAGCTGAGATTGTGAAAATATTTATATAAGAAGATAAGATATATAAGAATCCCTTTAATAGTTTAAATTACGCGTTCAGTGTTAAAGCAAAATACTTTGTACCAGAAAATTAAGAGTATATTTATGCTATTACTCACCTCCTTTTAATAAAGTAGTTTAGATTTTGTGCTAATGTGGAATATGTACCGTGTAAAAAAAAATGAAAGTTTCAATGAATTAATCATGTATGTTATGAAATGGTTGAGGTTTTCATGTTGGAAATTTTTCGACAGGTCTCACTCCGTGCAAGAACAACGGTACATGCATCCCTTTGCTTAACGAATACAAATGTATTTGCCATGATGGTTATCAAGGAAGAAACTGTGAAATAGAAAAGGTTAACGTGGAAATGCTTAATGAAAGAAGCCCTGTAAATTTCGATGGCAATAATTACTTTTCCTACCGAAGTAGAACAAGTCGCAGGTAATTTCTTGCTTTCTTTTAGCTTAACTGATTTTTCGGTAATACAGCGGTAATAATGAAAAGTTCCTCGTCATAATGAGAATCGCGTGCCCACAAGGGCTTAATAAAATAAAAAACAATAAATCATTTCAGCGGAGTGTCATATGGTTTTAGGTCCTTTGGTAAGAAAATACACTTCCGCAATAATTTGTACCGAGAACTAGGTTGTATAATTAAAAATAATTTAAACCTAATTTCGAAATTAAGTTTGCTTTCAAAGAATACTTTACATTGTTACTGTTGGGTTAATTTACTTTGGTGTAAATAACTAACATATTTTCTATATTTCTAGCTTACGTACTAACAACGGACATTACGGTGTAAGATAACATTGAAAGGATCCGTCAGACACTTCTTAGTTCTAAACTTCACTGCAATCTTAGATTAGGTAATGGTGTTTTAAAAATAATGCTTTGGATTACGATCTTTTTGAGGCTGATTTTAGAATGGCAAAATCTGTGAATCTTTCGGAGTTTAGTCTGTTTTCATTCACAACAATTGTAGGTGTAAGATTTTCTTAATATCGCTAATGGCAGCATATAACATGCGTTTACCTGTGAAGTTGCCGATGTAACATAAATGGCCAATATATAAATAAAAAATATAAAAGGTAAAAACCTATTATATAGTCTGCTCTTAAACATATTTTCAAAACGTCATTAGTTTACTAAAATCGGTCCAAAACTTGCCTCATTAAGTTAATCAATGTTTTCAGTAAATGGTCTATGAATATTTAACATGCTTCTTCCTACTTGTGTCCACTTATAACATCATTTGGCTCGGTATTGTTTTTATGATATGGATTAACTTGTAGTAGGATATGATTATTGTAGCACAAACTTTACTATTTAATTCGGTTTTTTTGTTAAATAAAATTTTAATTTTAACTGTATAGTGAATTTAAATATAATTCAGAATATTGGACTTCCCTCTTGATTTGTCGGTAACTTAATGTTCCTGATAAGTTTTTTTTTAAGTTTCCTCAAGTATAAAGTCGATCTAAGTCAAATAAGTTACCCTCAACTTTAAGTATTTACATAAATGCGTTAAACTTAACAACGTAAATGGAAACACTGTTTCTAAGATAAACGAATGGATACTTACACAATTTTCCTCGTAGCTTCCCTGTTAGAGTGAGATTTTGTTTTTCGCGAGTTTTATCTTTATTATTTTTACCTTTTCGTGAAATACTTTTTTTGTTTGTTTTGTTACTGTGCTTTTTGGATGCTAATTTTGTTGAGATAGCTTGATAGATTGAGATACCTAGTTTGGATGTTTAAATTTGTTGGTATAATTTTTTTGCAATGTTAGATATCACTAAACTTACATTCTTATGCTTTTAGGAATAGCGGAGCTCGCGGTATTAGATACGAAATAAAATTTCGAACTTACAACGATTCGGGCCTTCTTATGTGGCGACGTAAAATAGGTGTTCGTCCCAGAGACTTTATAGGATTGGGTCTTAGCAATGGAAAGCTTCAGTTAATATATACGGATACAGATTCTAAGGATATGAATTCTGCTACCCACGAAGATTGGTTTCAGTCTCTAGAGTCCAAGAAAAGGGTTGATGATGGGAGGTGGCATACCGCGACGATACGGCGGAGGAAGAGACTGGCCATGCTTCAGGTTGACGACTTGCCACCGGTCAGAGGATACTCGCAATCATTGCTTGTGCCCTCGAAATCGAACCCCAAATTATGGATCGGTAAGTACCTTAAAACTGTAACAGTGAAATAAAACGAATTCAGTCTCTTCATCATTATCATCCCGCTACAGGACACTTCCCAAAATGCGACATGATTTCAGATTTATTGTCCTATAAAGATGTTATTCAGTTATTTCTATGTATCCTGTACCTACACTAGTAGTTTACAAATTTTACCAATTTCAGTGCTTTCGTTTTTGATAAAGTCATTGCCGAAGTGTTATTTTAAGTTGTAACATTTCTACAGGGGGCTCACCGACATTGCCTCTGGGGTTGCCAGCCGCTCTATACAGTGGCCTCCGCGGTTGTGTAGCGAGTGTCAAAGGGAACGGACGACATATCGACCTAAATTCACCTATACGACCGACGACCGTCTTGCGACATTGTAATTAAAAAATTGAAGTGATTAAATAATATTAAAAGTATTATTTCTTAGATGTTTTAAATAGTATATAAAACTTGACAATACAGATGTATTCTGGTTTTTATTGTTTTTTTTTTCTTTTTGTTAGTAGTATTATTATATTATGATTTCAGCATCTATGTTTAGTGCAATCTTTTGTATTATGAACATAAATTGATAATAAAATTCTCTCTTCCCTGTACTGTCTGAATTACGTCTATTTTACTATTAATTTATATTTACTTTTAATTTGATTTACTACAAATATAATATCCACCTCTTAGTGCATATTTACATAAAACATTGCTATAATGATAATTTACTATAAGTTTACAACTGATCATATCATTACCCAATATAGGTGCTCGGACACATCAGACATAAAAATAGAGTATAAATCTTGCAAGAACTTCTTAATATTAAGTAGATCTGATTATTAAATTGTTAACTCTAGTAAATTATAGTATACCTATAAATGTTTATTCGAAGACAAAATATTTTGGAAGTAGAAATGATGGTACATTATGTTTTTAGATTTCAGTTGTGATGAATGCGATTGATTATCACTATAGATTGTCCTTTATTTGATACGGGGTACCCGCAAATTTAATCCTTAGTTAAGAAGTTTCCGTCACACATTTTCCGCTTATCTGCTCCAACTGCAATCCATCACAACCTACTTTTAATCATCATGCCTTTCTCCTAATATTTTAATTTTAAAGTTTAAAATATCCGCGGTATCCTATAAATATTAGGTTTGTTGAATATTAAGGTTATTAGATCGCGAAGTATTGCAATAAAAAGCCAGACTGATACTTTCATTGCTCTTCAAACTGTTATATTTTACATTAAAAGTTTACATTAAAAGAAAATTGTAGTTCAATGTTTAACTGCTTTAATAGTTACATACATTCCAATACGAAATAATATAAAAATACATTGTAAATTTTCATATCGACGTGTCATATCATTTTTATTTAGAAATCGTTAAAAAATATTATCCCGAGATAGTTTTTAAGATTTGATATTTTATAATTAAATGAACGAGATACGAGTTTTCTGTTGGTGTGTAATTTCGACATAAAATAGGACAATGATAATGTTTTGGTTATCAGTAGGAAAGTGATTTATTAGTGTTTATATTTTTATGTAGTCGTGGTAGAAATTACGCGCATTGAAAAGTATATTACTAGCAATCCGAGACGTGGAATGATACTCGTGGATCTTTCGAGATCTGGTTGTTTTTGTAAAAGATATATAAGAAGCACATATCAGCAAATCTCACATCTCGTTATTTTTAATTTACATAATTTGATTTTAATGTTTAAAGGTAAACCGTGCCATAATAATTTTACCGTACATTTTCTGTTGTAATTTACTTTAGTTCAGTTTTTTTTTTTTGTAAATAATAATGATAATTTATTTTAGCATTCCTAATATTTTAATAAATTCAGTTCATAACATTCCCTAGATTATGTTATTGTGTGCCATTCATTGTCTTTAACGAATTGCCTTAGCTTATTTTGTGAAAAATAAAATTATCCTTTTTTTATTCACAGATTTATTTATTCCGTATAGTGATGTCACAGTTTTAATGTTTAATGCATTTTTTTTTGAGATTATCAAGTTTTATTTAAAGGTTAGAAATGTAAAATATGTAAATAGTCTTAAAATAATTTTCACATTGTTTTTACTTTTTGTAGACCTGAAACTCAGTATGACATATAAATATAATGACTATTTGTATAATCTAAAAACAGCTTAAAGTATATACAAATCAGTAGTTTTCATCGAAATAACTAAAATAAAAGATACTAAGTGGTATTCAGTATTATATTTAGATTAAGAACATAAAATTCTTTTTAGTTTACAAACGAATTTACAAAGGTAAACTTTCTGTAAAAGCATTTTTTCTGCAAACATTTGCGATCGTACTTGAGAATATGTTAAAATGTATAAAAAAAAACTATTCACTTCTTAACGGTAAAAGTTTTTTTAAGTAAAATTAAATGAATATTGGATTCACTGTAAAATACCCGCCGTAGCGTTAATAAAATTTAACTGTACTTAAAATAACGAATTTCATTTTGATTTAAATTTTATAGCCTTGTAAATTTGTGTAAGAGAAAAGAAGCTAATTAACATTATAGTGAAACTATGTTTAAAGGTTTAGATATTTGCCTAAGGTAATGTTTCGGTTCAGGTTTCTTGTGTGCTAAATGTAAGGCGCTTAGATATTCGTTTCTCTACATTTAACGTAGGGATCTATTTGTAATTTAATGTACTAATAAAACAATGACAATATTAATAAAAATGTAACAGTTTCGCAATAAGCCTTTGCATTTCGCTTCGCGTTCGGCGAAAAAATCTATTTAGATTAGAATCCGTATAGTGATTTCAGACTTAAATTTATGTGATCCGTATTACGTTGAGAGTTGTTATACTTTTAAAACAAACACGAGTAATACACGTCTGTATATATATAGGGTTTTATAAATATCTTCCAGTCCAGTTTGTCACGGAATATAATTATGTTTTATGTAACTTAGTTTGTTGAGAATATGAAGAGATAATATTAAAATGAGACTGCAAACCGCAATCGATTGTTTTTACTTTAATTACCTCACCTTATAATTACGTTTCAGATTTTATATATTTTGAAAATAAAGGCATTAGTGAATTTGTCTCCCTATTTTAACACTTCAGTTGTGTTACCGTAAAATGCCATTGGGATTTCTTAGCGTGATCGAAGCGCTAAGTAGGTATTTAGAAATAATCACGCTGTGACTTTTGATGTGTAGGTATTATTGTATATCTTATACCTTTAAACGAGCAATTCTTGTATATTAATATATAATAATATATATATAATCTGAATTTCGGAAACGGCTCCAACGATTTTCATAAAATTTAGTATACAGGAGATTTCGGGGGCGATAAATCAATCTAGCTACGATTTATTTTCAGAAAATGTTGTTTTATTCGTGTTTTCAATAATCAACTCTTCCCGACATCTATTGGTGAATAATAATACTATTTTTCTTAATTGAGGGCAACTAACCGCTTTAAAGACACAACAAGATGGCGTTTTCAAAAAAAAAATGGAGCAAAGCTCGGTCATCGTCTAGTGATATCAATTGAAAAAGAGGTTTTTTTGTTGTATTACGACCAAACTGATAATTTTTCAGGCTGAATCATTTTGAAGATATGAAATCGACCCTACCTACTGTGGTACCACTACTGTGTACTGTACTCACTACCTGAATGATGATATTTTATTGAGGTTATTTTATTCTGACTTACAGCGGTTGGTTCGTTTAGAGGTCTTTGAACTCAATGAAACTAAATAAATGTCACCGCATAGCATGATGCATGACTTAAAATAATCAAATAGATTAAATCGATGTCTTTTTCACCCTTCGAGTGGGAACGTTTGGTGGATTCGTGATCAGAATAGGTGGGACGGTACTATCAGTTCATACGGACTTATCAAGGACTTGATCTCAAATGACGAGTACTTTAGGTACATACGACGCTTTATAAATACAGGCCACGTAACTCGATCGAGTTTCTCTTAGACTAAAATAGCCAAACTGTTTTTTGCATAAATATGCGCTATAGTGCGTGCTGAGACATTTTTACATTTTGACATAACACCGTGTAAATGTTGTTTTCAATATCTGTAAGACATGTATATAAGTCGTCGTGGCCTAACAGATAAGACGTCCGGTGCATTCGTGTTGAGCTATGCACCGGTGCTCGAATCTCAGGCGGGTACCAATTTTTCTAATGAAATACGTACTCAACAAATGTTCACGATTGATTTCCACGGTGAAGGAATAACATCGTGTAATAAAAATGAAACCCGCAAAATTATAATTTGCGTAATTACTAGTGGTAGGACCTCTTGTGAGTCCGCGCAGGTGGGTACCACCACCCTGCCTATTTCTGCCGTGAAGCAGTAATGCGTTTCGGTTTGAAGGGTGGGGCAGCCGTTGTAACTATACTTGAGACCTTAGAACTTATATATCTCAAGGTGGGTGGCGCATTTACGTTGTGGATGTCTATGGGCTCCAGTAACCACTTAACACCAGGTGGGCTGTGAGCTCGTCCACCCATCTAAGCAATAAAATATATATGTCGTGGTTAACGACTTTTAGTAATATTAAGATGTTGTTTTGACTATTATTTTAAATGATGAAATGTTGTTTTGATAAATATCACAAAATGTAGGGTAGACTCCGTAACGCCACAGTATAAAATGGCGGTACGTGGACAGAGTCGTGGCATTCCGTGTCAGACAGTCATTCAGTCCGTATCAGACGGTCCGTCGGTCTCAGTCAGTGAGTCTCTGGCAGTTTGTCTGTCGGTCTGTCGGTATGTGGAACGAAACTGTCGGTTTACCCTGTCATTGTGAAAGTTGTGTGTGTTGAGTTTCAATAATTATTATTCAAAAGGTTTTATTGACTTTTTATAAACTGAGTTCAACCAAATACGAGTGATGACGGAAATTACCGCTTAGCCATCCCTGCCGTGCGCCGACGTATATATATATGAAGACACTACTTCGAAGGACGAGGGTGATTAACGACCGAGAGAAGCTCTTTAAGAACGCGTCTTATCAGCTCTTCGATCGCAAATTTATGGATACTAAATTAGTTAGCTGTTTAAGCAACAGTGCCCTTGTACGAATGGGGGTTTTAGGTGCCGCAAATATTACTAACGGCCCACAAACACGAAAGCTTTTAATTTAATGATACGGACAATTGCGGAACCGTCCGCGGCGAGTTGATACAATACGCCCAACACGATACCGGAACGACCCAATAGCTATTAGCCGATTAGATTGATGAACAAACTTATTTACTACTCCAATACGATTCATTATTAACGTTTTTCATGGTATCGTCTATTAATTTATTTGATTAAGTCGTAAAGTTGGGAAACGGTAGGCTTAGCGTTAATTAAACCCACTTCGTTCTGGTTTCTATATGCTTCACTGATCACACTTTTTCTGGAATACGGGTTTTTCTGGAACATCAAAAACGTGCATTTCGAAGATGTCCAACATTTACAGAGTGTATAATTCTTTGATAATGGTGGTAGACGAGCACACTGTCGACTTTGTGGTAACTATACTGAGACCTTAGAACTTATATCTCAAGGTAGGTGGCGCATTTACGTTGTAGATATATATGGGCTCCAGTAACCACTTAACATCAGGTGGGCTGGGAGCTCGTCCACATGTCTAGGCAATAAATAAATAAATAAAGTACTTACCGTCTTTCGAGGATACAGGCAGTGCTAGAAGTGGAGCCAAACGGCTAGTTTCTGAGAAGCACTTCAAACTTGAAAAATGTTACAGTAGGTACAGTCAGGAAAGACCGTGAAGGATTTTATACAAAATCGATCGGTACGTATCAAAAGAGAGGTCCTGAAAAATATTCTTGAACACAGTGCTTCTGGGTTGTAGGATACAGCTTATTAGGGTAGCGGGCAGTGGGATGACCAATGGCTAGAACAATGACACATACCGTACGTCATCAATGTAGATGTAATCAGGAGAAAAATTTGAGAACCGTTCGAATTGTATTCTTTATAAATAAATAAAATGGCTTTTTATTTTTAAATCTTTTATACCATAACGCAGCTTACCTAATTCTTAATATTAATATTAATAGGTATACTCAATCTAGTAGTTATTCATTGACTTGGACGAAGGCCCCCTCCAACTCCATCCATCATTCGCGGCTTTGGAACAAATTTATTGAGTTCTTCCATGATCATTGATCTCGTGATTAGCCCATCATTTTTTGACCAACCTTTAAATATTTTACCTAATGGACCATTCTAACGCATATATTTGTATATTTTACAGTTCAACTTATGTCGCCTGTACCTGCGTGCAGAGCTTCTGCATTGAGCACCGCAGCCTCTGTCGTGCCTGCCGCTCCCGTGTCGCCTATACTGGCGAGAAAAGCTGCTGCGTCGTCCGCCGTGACCATCGTTTCAGCTGAGCGATCATCCGCGGCCTCCGTCGCGCCCTCTAAAACACCTACACTTGCTCGTAGGTCGCCTGCACCCGCCTCCTCGTGCNGTTGTCGACAACGAAATCCATTCTTTTCACTTTCGTTGTGACAGTTCGACCGTTGTCATCTGGTGATCGACGCCGATACAGCGGATAACCATCATTGCCAGTGACAGTCTCCGCCGTTAATTTCCGTGGATATCGTTTAGAGCACTTTCCATCGACCATGCAAGGTGATTGGGGATTGATGGCACCACACGGTCCATGAATCATATTAGTAGTAACAACATCATGTAGGTCTGGATCGACTTCATAATCAGGAATCTCAGCACATATGATATCATCTATTTGGTCAGGCTCAATTCTTTCCACTAACCAAATAAGAATGTGTGCGTGCGGCAGGCCTCGCTTTTGCCATTCGATTGAATACATCCAGCATCGAGTATCTCCAAAGACGCGTTGTTTAACAATAAAGTTCATCAGGGACCGAATTTTTTGCCTGAATATACGTGCTGTGATGTCGTGTCTATCACTTGATGTTTGTCCGGGAAGCAACAATTGAGTAATTTCTATCTATTTTGGATTACAGGTAAAAGTAATAAAAAGATCAGGCCGACCGTAATGACGAACATATGTCATTGCATCTTGTGCATATTCATGCATATGACGTGGACTACCAATGTATGTCGCCAGCAGAATAGTTAATCGACCAATATTAGCTGCATTTCCTTCAGTACTAACTGCATCACGTAAATGGATGTACTCCTCAGAACGCAGTTTGGCTTAGTTCAACCTAATGAATGTTAAACGTTCCGTTTCTATTTTTACATACATGTCAACGCAATACTGCTGAAACAATCGACGAAACCACAGCAAATAGTTGCCAGCATTTTGACGTATCATCAAACGATATGCGTAATAATTCATTGAGCTAACTTTCTTTGTAGTTTCTTCACCTGAAATTAAAAATTTGATAATTAACCATTTCAAAGGCAAATTTTAAAGGCAAACAATACAGACATTAACCATTTTTTTAATAAGCATTATTTTAAATCAGTGTCTTTCACAAATAAATGAAATAAATTATGATACTGATACTCACCATTCAATGGATTTTTCANATCATGTAGGTCTGGATCGACTTCATAATCAGGAATCTCAGCACATATGATATCATCTATTTGGTCAGGCTGAATTCTTTCCACTAACCAAATAAGAATGTGTGCGTGCGGCAGGCCTCGCTTTTGCCATTCGATTGAATACATCCAGCATCGAGTATCTCCAAAGACGCGTTGTTTAACAATAAAGTTCATCAGGGACCGAATTTTTTGCCTGAATATACGTGCTGTGATGTCGTGTCTATCACTTGATGTTTGTCCGGGAAGCAGCAATTGAGTAATTTCTATCCATTTTGGATTACAGGTAAAAGTAATAAAGAGATCAGGCCGACCGTAATGACGAACATATGTCATTGCATCTTGTGCATATTCATGCATATGACGTGGACTACCAATGTATGTCGCCGGCAGAATAGTTAATCGACCAATATTAGCTGCATTTCCTTCAGTACTAACTGCATCACGTAAATGGATGTACTCCTCAGAACGCAGTTTGGCTTGGTTCAACCTAATGAATGTTAAACGTTCCGTTTCTATTTTTACATACATGTCAACGCAATACTGCTGAAACAATCGACGAAACCGCAGCAAATAGTTGTCAGCATTTTGACGAATCATCAAACGATATGCGTAATAATTCATTGAGCTAACTTTCTTTGTAGTTTCTTCACCTGAAATTAAAAATTTGATAATTAACCATTTCAAAGGCAAATTTGAAAGGCAAACAATACAGACATTAACCATTTTTTTAATAAGCATTATTTTAAATCAGTGTCTTTCACAAATAAATGAAATAAATTATGATACTGATACTCACCATTCAATGGATTTTTCATTTTAATATTAAAATAATATCCATCTTCTCCTTGCCAAAACATCAGCGGGTATTGCAATGTGTCATATGATCGATGAGTTTCAGATATTTGTTGCAGTTGCCCAGTATCGCGACGTGTAAGCACAATATCGCGTTTTTCCAATTGTTCACCAACAATCAGGATGGCAAGTTCGTCTACTGTTGGAGCATTAAATGTCCCTTCGTGTGTTCCAGATGGTCGTTTATCTGCTTTGATAACAACTTTATAGTCATCACTTGGCATGCGCTCTAAAGCACTCTTAAACAACCTGACCAACGCATGATGTTCATGAAGCAGACACTGCAAGTCTTGAAGAATTGCTCGCTTCATTCCTGCATTGATCTCTAGGCGTCGATCAAGTTGTTCTTCCATGTTGCCCATGAAATATANTCTCTAGGCGTCGATCAAGTTGTTCTTCCATGTTGCCCATGAAATATATTTGTAAAAATTTATTCTGTGTATCTTCGAAAGGTAGTAATGATCCAATTCGATGATGAATCTGTCCTTGTATCTACAAAATAAAAACCAGACAGTATTAACTGGGTTATAAACACTTTTTTCGGTGGGAGAGTAGAGTTCAGAATTAGCAGATATACTACATAGGTACCAATAGATAAAGTAAGTTATTCTTTAACTACATTGTATATAAGTACAAAAATAAATACCTTAAATGTCGGATTAAATCCCCGTTCTTCGATAATATCTGCCCCAAATGACGGCATTTGGAAACAACCATTGTATTTTTGAGTATTTGCAAGAAAGTGGCGTGATTCTTGTGTTTCGCCACAAAGCAATGAATACAATGGCTCAGGTGGCGGAGTCAACAATGGCAATTTCACTTTACCATTAAGGCAGCATAATCCAGGCGTTTCTTCGGAAAACTTTAATGCACCACAATACTCGCAAACTACGTCCATTTGCCCAATGCAAACGCTAGGATGCAAGCTGGAATCATTGCTGCAATCGTATTGAAACGCTGCTCGATTCAAATCAGCACTTGATAAATATCTTGTTCTGCGTCGCAAATTATCTATTTGTTGACCTCTGTTGTTCGCTCGACGATTCTGCATTGCCAACCGAGCTGTTTCACGGGCTGCTTCACTTTGCTCTCGTGATTGAGAAGCACGAAGTCGAGCCATACTATCGCGGCGCTGTTCACGTGCAATTTCTTGTTCTTCTTCAGTCCTTTCATTTGCAGTATTTCGTATTCTTCTTGCATCACGGCTTTGTCGGGAAAGATTCGATCGTCTTGGTCGCAGCATTATTAATTAAACTTCACTTCACCTAAAAACTTAAATTTTCAACCATACCGAGTTTTATAGTTCACTTCACTGTTTATACGAATGGGCAATTGGGCAATAATGTGAATTATTTATTTAATAGAAATAGTTTTATTATTGATTTCTTACAAATATCAAATTGTCATCCATACGTCATTACATAGCTGTCATTATACGTCAATTTTGTTATTCCAAGTCTGATTCTTTTTTGTTATACCACGTTTTATAGTGACTGACGTTAAATGTCAAGTCACACGGGAATGATGTCGAACGGGATAAAAAGTATCCTATGTCCTTCTCCTGGCTCTAAACTACCTCCCTGCCAATTTTCAGCTAAATCGGTTCAGCCGTACTTGAGTTATAAGTGAAGTAACTAACACGACTTTCTTTTATATATATAGATGTTTTGAGTTTATACCTAATATCTATATGTTTTTTTTAAACAGTCTAGTTAATTAACTGAAGACCGTCTGGGTCAGTGGTAGTCTGCTCGGTAGTTAAATTATACAAAACAATATAATTATACAAAATAATACTTACCTGAGGCATATAGACAATCGTTCTTCAACAGATACAGGTATTCGAAAATTTGTTTCGTGTCTCTTGAGGTGTGGCTTTAAGATATTCACTAAGGTTTCAAATTGAATATAGGTCATTTTATAATAATCGTAGTACAAATCTGGGTACTGATTTAAATTTTTACAAAATGTTTCAAATTCACCAACTTCTCTTCTTTTCTTCCATAAATCATGTACCCAAAATTTTATTTTCCTTTTTCTTTCTGTTTTGTTTGTTACTTCTTGTTCTTCTTCTACAGCCAGTGCTATGATACATAAATCCAAATCCACCATATTTATTGCCACACAACTTTCCTTGAGTGCAGTAGATCGCACACTAGTTTTCAAAGCTACCACGCGGAGGCTCATTGCGGCACCTCGGGATGCCGTGCTGCCTCTCGCGGCGCCACACTGCCCCTTGCGGCGCCGCGCTCAGTCACTTGCTCTTACGGCGCTGCGCGCCGCTGCTCTTTCAGTGGGAATTGACCCTTAGCCGATTCGATGGGTAATAATCCAAACAACGACGCGTTGTCTGAGACTTCAATGACTGCAAGCTTGCGAAGTGACAATGCTGTATCCAATATTTAATAATGCTGGCGATGATGCAGTGAGAGATCCGGACTACAATGCTGTTGCGGATTATCCAACCAGTGAAGATATATCTAATGATTCAATTTCTTTAATCACTAGTACCAAACATGTAGAAATTAATCAAATAAATGAGTTTACTAGTCCTCAACCAGACTTGATCAATTTAGAAGTTCATGGTGATGAAATAAACTTTGTTCTAGATACTGAAAAACATATCTGATAATGTTGATCGTAATGAAAGATCAAACGGACAAACCGTTTCTGATCTGCAATCATCATTGGCTGAAAGATACAAAACGGACAAAAAGAGGCAGAAAACCTAAGTTTGGTGGTTTATCGCGTGAAGAAAGAAAAACCGCAAATACACAAACTTATCCTATGTCAATTCTAGAAAAAAATTATATATTCTAAGAGTTTTGTAGATTTTCAACGCATTTGCCTAAAAAAGTGCCACTAAAGTGTTCCGGTACAATAAAGAATCGCTCAGTTTCAAAAGTTTTATTCATTACGATCGTATGATACGCAAAATTCATTTTTAACTTCATTAATAATCAGTGAGATATCATGTCTCGAAGAACGCACACGCCGCTCGTCGGTCATTGTCTCTCGTGAACTCGTGATTTTCCATGTGTTATAAATACCGTTCCGTGATAATAATTGTGATCGATAAAATGATACTAAGGTACTCAATCTATATGCAGTGATAATAAGAGTTTTAGTTAACTGTTTAAATTGTTTCTGACTACAGGAACAAAATGAGTACCCAAACGTTAGTTTACTGCCCCAGTTATGCGAAAGTTACACAAGATACGATGTTCCCAAAAAATATCAAGCTATTGTAATTGACGCTATAGAAAACGTGCAAATTAAAGACTACGCACAAGCCTTAGGGAAGGCTAAATAAGGCTCAAATAAGGTTTTTGTTTAAAATTTCCAAAAACCGCATATGCATATATTTGTCATCAAAATCTATAACTGATGATATCGTTGAAAATAAAAAATATATAACCATAGAGAAGCACAAGCTACCAATTCGACCACTGATTAATAGAAACAAACGCATTATTCTCTCAAACGTATGTCAAATTTACCCTCACTCTGACACAGTTGCCAGATGGGGATTGGGGGGACATTCGGGGGGAAATTTCGAAGGTTTTTTGAGTACCAATAATTCATCGACAAACACAATTCCCATCACTATTAGAATAATTACGAGTATAGTCTACTAATGAATCATACTTCAATTCACCTGTTCATTATAATTTTGAAAATCTTACCATGGACCCCCGCTACATGAATTTTGGACACACATTTAATGAACAGTCCCAAGGCATTAGAGAAGAGGATTTAAAAGAAGTGAAGAAGCGATGCAAAGACTTTTTGGTAGAAATTTGCAAGGAAATACAAAAGAGATTGCCTAATAATATGAAGATCTTGGAAAGTTGCAAACTGATGAGCCCAAAGAATGCGACAAGCCAAGTCAAACCAGACATAACAAATTTGGCAAAGTCTTTTAAATCTGTCTGTGGCAGCATCGATCATGCTGTTCAAGAATGGAACTCGCTTCATAGAACTATTTGGACATGTACAGATCAAACGGAGGTATTCTGGATTGAAGTTTATAATATGAAAAATGCAGTCGGTGAAAGGTGTTACAGCCATGTTGCTAAATTGGCCATTGGTATCTTGTCTCTGCCATTTTCAAATGCAATTGTGGAAAGAGCATTTTCACAAGTCAATATTATAAACGACAAATTACGCAACCGAATGGCAATAGAAACTGCCGAGGCGGTTCTCAGGATCCGATATTCACTGCCAGATGGATGCATAAATTTTGTTCCCACATCGGACATGTTAAAAATCTTTAACTCCGAAAACATGTATGCTTTAAATAATAAAAACGAAAGTGAATATGATTGTAATAATTGTTTAGAAATGGTTGAAGTTATGGGTGAGCTTGATTAAAAAATAAAAAAATACTTTTTTTTGCTCTTTATTTTTTCTTTACAATAAGTAAAAACTGATTTGGGGGTTTTTTCTTTCAAAAAGCGTATTTTCGGAGGGTTTTCGAAAAAAGTTGGGGGGAAATTCACACGATCATCTGGCAACACTGCACTCTGAGATAGAAACAAAACTGAAGAAAGTAGGAATCAATTCAATGTCGCCTATATCTTTTTTGAGGGCCACTCGGCCGGTATCAATGATCCTGGCTATAATCGCATACTGGGCTTTCGCCGTCAACTCTTTGTGACTCTCGAGGATTTTTACCGCCTCCCAGAAAAGATCTCAATAGAATTCGAAGATACTTCCTACTGGATTTATCTATCATCGGATACCATGACCTGTTTCGTTTGTAAGAGTGAGGGCCATATTGATTCGAAATCCGCGTCTGAAAAGAAGGAATTTCGAGTGGCAGTTAGTCAGTTTTTTTTGTTGTTAATTTAAGAGGGTAAGCTATCAAAAATGTTCATTTAATTTCTGTGACACTTAACAGGAGGTCAGAGTCGAGGACCAGTCCCCGCTCATACAATGCTCGAAGTGTCTCGTTCGGACATGTAGTCACTGTGGAGGACCGCATCTGCGCTAAAAATGCGCAGGCTTTATCGCGGGGAATGAACCGCAGTGCTGCAACTGCTCATACTCTGGGTTGCGGAATACCGACCACAACGCATTTAGTGCTCACTGCCCGGTAGGGAAAAAGCGGGACTACTTGGCTCGTGCAAACACGACCAGGGCGACAGAGAAGGTTGGATATTTTTTGGGTTAGCATTTTGGTTAGCTATGTCTACTTCCTCTTTATGTACTTCGGGAAATCTACATGATTTAACAATGAGCGGTTGATCGGTCTTGGTTCTGATTTGATGTTCAGTTCATGACAATAGATCGTTGGGTAAATGGAATATATCTGAATATTGTGCACATATGTTTTGTAAGCATTCAGATT